TAAAAAAATAGAAAAACGGATTATAAAAAAATAAAATTTTAGTAATTCCATCCTAAAATGGAGTATAATTATCGAATGATTGCTCCCGCCTGGGTGAGGCGGGAGGGAGTGTCAGACTCTTACTGACTAAAAACCACCCCGTTCCTACTCCTGCCCTTCGAGCCGGAGCCCGAGAAACTCGCCATGTCTAGAATTGAAAGAGTAAAAACCCTGCTTATATTAAAAATTTGAGTGAGACAAGTAAAAACCCTGTCAAGCACCAAAATTGATCTACAAAACTAAACCAAGGAACTTAATTTAAATCTAAGACTATTCTAGACCATGGCGAGGTAATCAGATCATCTTTAGTTAAAAGACAAGGTCGAGCTAAAATTCTTTAATTCGGTTTCTACATCTTACATTTCCCAACAGCTGACTGAAAGCAGATCCGCTGACATTGAAACTGATTGTTAACGCTTGCATCTTGCACTCTTAGTCATAATCAAATAACTAAAAACTTTCGTTTTGTCGAGGACATCTGATTTAGTAAGTTCTAGAGAAATATCCGCTGAAAACAGAAACTAGATTGCCACAAATGAGCACACATATGTGTTACTTATGTATATATATAGGGCTGATGCACACATTATCCTCCTCTGCTTTATACAGTCCAGTAAAAAATAATGGTACTTTTACTTAGTGCATATAAACGAATAAAACCTCAAAGTGTCAGGTTTATTTCTACACCATTCTCCTGTAATCGATTTAATAATCGAATAGCCTGATTCACTTATTTCATTTTAGAGACATTATCCAAAATATTCAGTGGTTTTGGCTAGATCAGAATAATTGACTCAAAAAAAAGCCAGCATATGGTATGACTTCACTTATTCAATCAAGTCAATGGTCAGCCATTGTTACATAAGCGCGCGCATCGTTGCCAAATCCACGATGGTCGTCACTCCGGAGTCCGCAGGCGCAGCGTAAGAAAGCGAAGGTCGATTGTGGTGTAATGGTGGACATTGCAAATGAATCGGAATTTTTACGTCATGTGTTATCTAGTGTGACTGGTAAACACTTAAACAGGCAGGCGGTTCATGAACAAGTTCGTTTTCGAAACTGTTGTAGTTAATTTGGATACCGTGATGTTTTTTTTCTGAGGAATGCGAATTAGTCGGGGACTTTGACGGGTTACCGGGGCTTCGGTTCGAAGCAGAAATAGACACGGTGAGGTTTTTATCAGAAAGAGTTTGACATACTCCCTCTCACCTCGTTCTGTGGAAGGAGTCATTGGATTATTGTCCCCCTTAATAATTAGCTCATTGTAAAAAAAATATTGTTCATTAATTCAACATTAAATAGGGACTGGTTCAGTAATAGCAATTAGAAACCATGTTTCGATATAATACTTCTTTAGACACTTCGTGTCCTCGTTAGAAGTTAAGTTCAAGAATCAAGTATTTTGAGAATGAATAGCAAAAATGTAATCGAAACATTCTAGAGTCGTAAAATAAATGATGTAATATTGTAATCCTAGTAAATAATTTATCGAACATGAGCTTAATCGTGAATAATAAATTTGGTTATTCAACTCAACTCATAAAATAATGACTGGTTGTAACTGTACTTACGTATGTTTAAATAGGTAAATAATATTTCATGGTATTACATCGATTCTTTCTTATTATACAATACACGAAGCTTACTTAAAATATGTTGGTCCTGTTATTCGACAAATAGTTAGTTATTAACTACTTGAGACAGCAACTAAAAAAATCAAATGACGAGTTAGAGATTTATAACTAAATAGAAAGCTTTGGCGTATTCATACTTGCAGACAGATTTAAAAAATGTAATTCATTATTCTTTTTTAAAGCGATTCAGCGCCATTTATACTACGCATGCATATGTAGATTTACCATAAATTGTATTGACATAGGAACAATAAAAAAAATATATTAACTAGAAGTCTTATTTAAACAAAAAAAATTGACCTTAGACAAAAATCTGCCTAAATATGTATGATATTTAAGATGTCCGTGATGAGACGGCGGAAACGTATTATTTATTTTATTTAAGTCAACAAGCTTATTGTACGTGAGCTGTACTCAGTTAATAGGCGATGGTCAAAGACATAAAGCAATACATATGTTTGATGAACAATACAAATAATGGACAAAGAATGCTGCTTCCAGGTATAGTATTAATATATTTAATTAACTAACTCGATAGCCTTGAAATTTTTGCAGTGAATACCCGCAAATAACTAATGTTCTTTTGCTTAAGTTACCCTTGATCTGTATTTGTAATCCATTAGGTACCACAATTATACGGCTGGTAAATAAATATTATCATACTATTTTTACGCCTTTTGAAATGTATGTTCTATTATAAGCTGCAAGCTGCCTAAGCTATCTGTCAGTGTAGCCAAAATCAAAGTCAAAGTCATTAATTTCAATTAAATCAAGAAGGCACTTTTGATCGTCAAAACAAAAAATTTAAATATTAAAGAAAATGAGCCAAAATGAGTCAGCCAGCGCGTGCAATTTCAAAACAAACTTTCGTGTACATATTAATATATATAAATATATATAGTTAGAAATTATATATTTCGACGCTATGCAATAGATTGCATAGATTACATAGTGTTTCTATACATACATACATATATTAGTTTGCAACCACCCAATGCTCTGATGTTCCAATAAATAATAGATTGCCTTATATATATATTATATATTAAGATTCTAGACAATAATATAAAATAACTGCGTTACTGTGCTTACTGTTAACCTAGATTTTCCGACATTTTTTGTTATGAAAACTTAAAACTAGTTTTCCTAAACATTTAGCCATTTGTTATGACTATCATACATCTACTTTGTTATGTAGATTTTAGTTTAGTTTACAGTCATGCTTCCTCAAACATTTCTTACTTCATATTACATTCTTTTCCTTCACATTAGAGTCCATTTTCGTTAGTTAAATGGATATAGAAGCACGATTTTGCCAAAAACAGTTATTTAAGTGAAAAAAGAAATCTGTTGTGTAAGTAAACAAACTGTTTTGATCTTATTAACTTCGCTTAGTGGCGCTAGTGGCCTAGATATTTTGGTTTAAAACTCATTACGCAACTCCGCGCAGTCGGTACACCGTTTAGAAAAACTTGTGACCCGCTAGCCCGGTATACATTGAGTTGTTTTGTTGTCATTTTCTTTTTACTACTTTTTATAGAAATACCGGAGACATCGTGCAATATCGTCTTTATAATCTTGTTCAATATCGTCTTTATAATCTTGTTGTAAGAATTAATTCTTATAATTACTTAATATTTAACAACTAAAAATATAGTTTGATCACAACCAGATACTTAATTATTTTCATTAAACATTTTTTTCTTACCATTTATGTAAACCTTCTCTTGGAAGCACATTTCACAAATAATTCAAGTTCAAAATTATCCAAATCGGTCAACCTGTTTTCGATATATAGTAGGGTTAACGAACATCAATTCATTTTTATTATTTTTGATATACAAATTAAAGTGGACATGGTGTCTTAAGCATTTCTTTTAATCGGCGGTCCAATTCAATATGAATTCAAATCCTTAATCATAAGTATACGAATCAGCGGTAAGTTATTAAAAAACGTCAATAAATTAGAATGAGAACATTAATCCGTATTACAAAGTTACGTGTTATTAAGTGACGGCGTTTAAACTTACATAAGTTACTTACTTAGCATTTAAACTCTCGATTTCATTAAAGCGTTTAACTTAACATGTTGTTTAACTAAAAGTTGTATTAAACTTGAGGTTAATCTTAATGTTACGAAACTATTGAATAATAAATGCGAGAACATTTGTAACTCTTTAGTGAATGGTGCAAATCATTTTGTTTTTTATTTCAATGGATAATTTCTTAAATTCTTTTATTTTACTTCCTGTGTTAATTCCAAATTACTTCGAGCCATGGTGCAATATTTTTGCATTAAATTATAGTTATCAATCCTCATATTATGTACTATTTAAACAGATGTATTAGTTCTAGTATACATTATTTAAAATGAATGGTTAATGAACTAAAATTAATCGATGTAGGGAAATTGTGGATGATTGTAAGAGATGGTTGATTTGTTGCGGAAACATATTAGAACCGAGGGAAAATTATTTTTGGAACACGTGGAAAATTATGATAAAAGTTTCAGTAGTTAATTTCATTCGATTGGTCATAAAGATAAGTGATTTAACAAAATCAATAAACGCTTCAGTTCATAAGTTTAAGTTATTTACGATCTTTAGTTAAGTTTTAGGACTTGTTTCAAAGAGTGAGTGATAATTACTGGTTAGTTTCATAAGTAGGAAGTAAGTAAATAAATTATAATTATTGCGAAAAGTATTACATAGATATGATAAAATGTATTTGAATATTACGAGTAAGCACCTTTGTGTTTATGTAACTTATTTTATAGAACGTTCGCTGTACAGAATTTTAGCCAATAACTAAGTTCCAATAATATTTTTTTCAAAAGAATGACAATTCACTGATTTTTATATTTTCCACTAATAATTTAGGTAACGGTTGCCTTTTTAATTTAAACGGTCTTAAGATTCTTTTTTTTAATACTTTTTACAAATGGAAAGCCTGGCGTTTCCGAAATGCTAGGCATTTCGAATATTTTTTAATAAGTTTGGAAAGCGAGCCTCATTAGTATGTTACAGAATTAAACATCCTATTATAAAAGTAATGGTTTCAAGTTTATGTAATGACACAGTGCTCGATTATATTTGCACAATGTTCGGTAAAAGTTATGTCTTGTGCAACACTGGACGGATCCACGGACGACATTATATCATCGCTCGTGAACACATATATTTAATTACTCTTCATTTATATTCACTTGCAACATACTCTAAGATATTCATAAGAGGCTGAACCGAAAAATTTCGAAATTCCATAAATCACGGTTTAGCCTTGCTCTTTTGATCTGATGGTATTTTAATGTTAAAGGTTGGTACTCACTCTTGAGCGCCCACAGCTTCCTCTCCATCAGTCCCTCCACGTACTCCTGCATCTCCAGACGGCAGTCCCCGTTGACAGTCTGCTGTAGCTCCGCCCACTGCTTTACCAAGATGTCTGCATCAAACAGTCGCAGCATGTTCTCTATGCCCATCAGCTCCGTGCTGGTCACATTGTCTCGCTTCAGCACGTTCCTGGACTCGTTCACAGTGTTCCTGATGGAGTCGCTCAGCTTGCTCAGCACGTCCTTGTTCGGTTTCGATGTCGTTTTCTCCGCAGGTTTGCTGGTAGTCTTCACAATGTGCTGCACATTGTGCGACTTCTCAGTCGTCGATTGTTTCGCTTCAGTCTTAATGTCACTGAAGTCTGCGAACGACAGTCCGTCGTCGTCCGCGAATAGATCGAAAGCATCCTCCGTTGTGGATTTTTCGTTTCGGTTCGGATTTGGAGGAGCAGGTTTGGCAAGGGAGCCGATCAGATCGGAGGCTAGGTCTTCATCCACGCCACCCTTAGCCGAACCCTTTTTGATACTCTGAAAAGCATCAATCAAAGCACTCCTTAGCTTTTCTTCGCGCGCACTCTCTCTGCTGTCACCCTGTAGTTCACCACCAGCATTTACTAAAACTAATGCACTTAACAATACTATCACTAGACGAGACATTTTGAAAAAAATAATTTTTAATTTATTTTCTCAAAGTTTCACTCGCACATGCTTGTTAGTACGATCACTTATACGTTGGAGTCGAGATGATATTTCGGTAGTTAAAGGTGCGCGCGCGGCATCATAGTCGGGGCACGACTGCGCGGCTGTGAGGCTGTGACATAACGCCGTTACGAAGTTACAGCGGCACTTTCACTGTCGACGGCGCGCGCGCAGGTGATCGCCGCATCCTTGTAGGGCGGCCGATGCGTGCCGCTGAGCCACTTGTACGTTGACTAACATATTAGTTAACTTATTATAATTATAATATTATTTGATAGCTGTGTCTCCGACAGGCAGAACGTCATAACAATCTGCTACCGGTAACAAACCTTACAAGGCTTAGAGAACTTCTTTTGTATTTGAAATATAGCAAATAGAAAAGAAGCTAAGCTTAAACACGTAGGTTTGATATCGATTTTTAAAAAACTAAGTTTTCCTGATGACTATTCAAAATTGTTAATTAATTATGATAAATGCAAATGAATGTCAGCTAGCACTTTATAAATCACACAATTCGAACAAGCTTTAAAAGCTCACAGCTTTGTGAAGTTAGTTTGATACGCGTAGGAGAGGTTTACTTTAAAAAAAAATCAAATTTTTATTTTAAGTGATTAATACTACTTCATATTAAACAGCGTGTGAGCATTTTGAACTTTATAAAAAAGCTATAAAGTTGCACGACGCGAGAATCGAATCCAACTTTATATTCAGCTATTATTCTTGCGGCCGCTCTATCAGTGAGGAATCCAAAGTACTCTGGACTTTGAGAGGGAAGGTTCAAGTAACTTACTAAACACATGTTTACAAACACTCAAATATTTCATAATTGTAAGTCTCGCAGTCTCTGGTGATTGCTAGAGATGTTTGTGTGAGAGTATTGCGGGATTGATGTCAGGTCGCGCCAGCTGATGTAATGCTGAGCGGTCTAGTGGCGTGACCACATCGACTCCAATATTGTTAGTGTTTCTGCACCATTCATTATTCAATCTAAAATTCTGACATTTCGCCAGTTCAGTTATAATAGTCTTTCTTCAAGCATTAATATAGTTATTGTTACGCATTCAACAGATGTGAATTGAAATAAATCCTAAATCAAAACTTGGGTCTCAAGTTCAGCAAATGTCAAAACACTAATAGACTATTCTAGTCACTAGTCACCTCTTGCAATAATAGTAACAATCAGCTGTGCTGCTGTGCACAAATACGATGCAATAGTATACGTCACCAAGTAAAGAAACCGCACAGTCATCATGACTTGATGACTCACAGTCTTACATACATACCATATGAAGAATTGCAACAGAAAATAATATAAAAAGAATCATTAAATGCTCTTCTAAATAACTGTAGTTTGTACATACATGTGTAGGTATACTAAAATTTGGGACTGGTCAGACTGTGCCTACGTTATCGAAAAATGATTTGATTTTTTTAAAGAGACCACAGCAACGCTCTTTGATAAATCTGAATCTTTAACCAGGTTACCAAACATGGGGATTAGGAAAAACTCTCTTGTGTAGAGGAGGCATCTATCTCTATTAGAATGTCGTATACTATTCATGATGAATATTTTACGTCAGGGACCTCCATTGAAAACTATAATGGAAATGATTTTTCCTCGAACAAAGGCACGGTTACTAGCTAGTTTAACAGCTAGCGAAAGTTTTTTACAAGGTAAATAATAACTGTAACTACAATTATTTTGCTGCCTACATATTTAATTTTAAATCTAGGTCGACGGTGGATCGAGACGTTTTTTAACTCACTTTTGCTAGTTAGTTAGTTGCGAAATAACTAGTCTTGTTACGGTTACTCCAAAGTTGTTCTCAGCAACTTTATTGCTCTACTAGTGTTGTTCTAAATTAACTGACTGGTTGCTCCAAATTCTAAAAGCTTCTTTTATTTGCTTAGTTCTTTTTTGAACGACTTCTTTCCAGACCATAATCTACCTACCTAATCTACTGTTCTAATTTTTTTATGGGATTTGTTTTAAGGGGGGAAAATCATCGACTGACTGCTCCCGCCTGGGTGAGGCGGGAACAGTCAGTCTCTTCCTGCACGTCGAGCCGGAGCCCCGGTTACCCGTTAGGTTCTCCGCGACTCCGAATCGGCATCGGCCCTGTTGGGCCCCATCTGTGGTGGTCTGATGGCTCTTTGAGGCGCGCGCGGAACGCGACGCGCCATGCGCTCGGGTCTGTTTCTGGTCAGAGTCAGACCCATGCTCGCCGTCCGCAGGACCGCGCCTATGGCGTGGCGACCGGAGATCGTCCTGCGATCCCCGACGCCCGGTGTGTCCTTCGCGATGGCTGGGTTGCGAGGAGACAGCGCTTCGCTGCCTCACGCGTCCTGCCTCCGCCTTAGCCTCCTGCTTCGCCAAAGGAGGAGACGGCATTCCAGTCCCCCTCGCTTTTTTATGGGTTAAGCCGATAAACAAGTAGACGGATCACCTGATGGAAAACATTTGGCGTCGCCCATATACACGCGAAACATCAGGGGCGTTACAAGTGCGTAACCGGCCTTTTGGGGATTGGGAATTTGAGGATTGTGTGGGAATCGGGGATTAAAGAGACTGGGGAGGGGTAGTTGGGACTCCGGTAACCTCACTCACATGACGAAACACAACACAAGCGTTGTTTCTCGTTGGTTTTCCGTGCGGCCGTGGGTGGTATCACTCCACTTAAGTTCGGTTGAGCCGGCCCATTTGTGCCGAAGCATCTCCCACACTTAAACTTAACTTAATTTCATCCCGAACCTTTCAGCCGTTTTGAAGTGAAGAAGTTACAAACAAACATACAAACTTTCACATTTATAATAGTATTTCCCCCTTTGTTCAGTATGCAAGGGGAGTTGAATTCGATTTCTGCTATTTCCATTTCCAAAAAGACATACAACACTACTATTGTGCAGGATTATTTGACGTATCATTCGTCTGAAGTGTATATAAATGTAATAGAAATTTATTCGGCATTTGTGAAACAAGCTCTATCTCTTTACTTGTTATTGTCATGGTGCAATATAAATTATATTATTGTCGTGTCTATACCAACAGCAATATTTATGTCTATAATGGACTACGACTATGACAGTATGTATGACATATGGCATATAGAAAGTGAGACCTTCTTACAGGCAAGTGTGCTATACGACAGCGCAGTTGTCACAGATTTTATTTATTTTTGCAAGTGTTTTGTCTCATTATTTAACAAACATTTGTAATGGAATGTTTTCGGGCTATTTATTGTTTTGTGAATAATAATTAGCCGGACTTCAACTGCTACTGGACATAGGTTTCTGTAATACCCACAGCACTTTATTGAGTTCGGTTTTCAGCTATTTGTATGTTTTATAATTGAAAGCTTCCCATACTTGTATATGTAATACCATTACCAGTACCTAGGTGTACATTCGATACCGAGGCTTACTCTTAAATCCTATTCCAATTGATCGATATTGTATCCGTATTGCGTGGATACTGAATGAATTAAACGGTATTGAGTTTGGTTTTATAATCCATACTCTGAATACTATTTTAATGACTAAAATTAGGGTTTTATAGTGTTGACATTGAATATTTATTAGGTTTTTATTGGATTGAACTTGAATTGACATTGAGATTGGTTTCAGGAGTAAACGCCTGACTCGGGAATCGTATAAAGGAAGAATGAGGTGACATCATCTAGCAAGAGTTACGTAAGGGTAAAAATCAATTCAAATCACATAATACGATCCTTTATACCAATAAATTAAATCACCAAAATTAAGATTATGGCAATATTGTCTTTTAGAGTGACCCACAGAGGATTGCATGTCATCGGTTATATAACTCGAGTTTTAAACAATTTTGCGAAATAAAAGTTCCCGGTATAAGTGTGTAAATATTTTGAGTGCGAAGTTGTGCGACTAGTTTTGTGCCGTGACCTCACCTGCGGCCTTTCTGTTGGGTAATTCATTTGCAATGTTTACGGCCCGCGACCCAATCTCATCGTGAACCCACTACCATATCCGTATTCTACTTTTATGGCGAGTAATATTTATATTATTTAATTTTGAAGTTTATTATTTTGTTAAGAATTTAGATTAATACTGGAATGTTGTTCAAAAACAGAGAACGACTCTAAGTTTTTGCACAACTTGAAATATTACTCATTTCACATATTGTTGTCAACTCCTTATAGGATTGTTCCTCATCACAGTGACTATCCGAACTTCACAACAAATACATATTTCGTCAGATCAACTTATTAAGTCGTTTAATGATGAAATGTTACGTAAAATACATCTTTGTTCATACTCTACGCTTTAAAAGAGGTTTAAAGAGATTGTCCGTACAATGTAGAATCTACGGTACATATATATAAAGCTAACTACTTATTGTGATTTCCTATAGTTTAAACAGAAGTTATGTACAAATTTCAATGACTATTCAATTACCCCTAACTTCCAAAATGCCAGCAATACATTTGTAACTCCTCCAGTGTTGTGGTAGTCCATAGACGGCATCGATTGCTTACCATCAGGAAATCTGTCTGTTCGTTTGCTGCCCTATACCATAGAATAGTGCGCGGGCCTGCGGACGGCGAGCATGGGTGGCTCCCCGTCCGACCAGAAACAGACCCGAGCGTACGGCGCGTCGCGTTACGCGCGCGCCTCAAAGATCCATCAGACCACCACAGATGGGGCCCAATAGGGCCGATGCGAGTCGCGGAGAACCTAACGGGTAACCGGGGCTCCGACTCGACGTGCAGGAGAAGGAACGGGGTGGTTTTTAGTCAGTAAGAGTCTGACACTCCCTCCCGCCTCACCCAGGCGGGAGCAGTCATTCGATGATTTTCCCCCCTTAAAAAAAAATACCATAGAATAGTAGATACAGATAGCGTGACTGATTAGCCAATCTTATAACTTACGACACAAAAAAGCATCAACAAATATAAGCTACGAACGTACAAAGTAATGAATGCGAAAGTGCAACTGTTGCATAACAACAAATGATCACCGGACGAGTGCACGGAAGTGGGCACCAGGTAGGAACTCCTTCGTATCGCATTGTATGATCATTCAGAACTGATTGGGTTACCAGGAAGCCTCCTTACATCATCTGGCCAC